AGCAAAAAGAGCAAGCCAAAGAGATGTAACCATGGACTGCAGTCAACAATGTGTGGGTACCGGTAATCAACTCCCTCAAATGTGCCACACCAATACAAGAGGCCGACGTAGCGGAAACTGGAGCAAAGAAGGAGCACACAGAGATTCTCTGTACTTTCTGACCAGGTTTCTTTGCACTTATGTTTCAGTTTAGGGCATGCGTGTACATAATGATCACACTCCTCGTGGGCACTCAGTACATGCACATAACACAGCCCAGCACCTCTTGCGCCCCGTTCCCTTCCTGCCTCCCCTCCCGCATCTCTTGACCTCTTTGCCCTCTGAGAACGATCTATCTCCATACTTCCTACGATGAATCTTTTATTTTGCCCTTTATTTTTACTCTTGGATTCTTAGCAATTTCTCAAACAAAGGACTCATATCCAGAATACATAAAGAACTTGAGAAATTAGGCCCCCAACATAAAAGACCCAATCAAAAGATGGGCACATGAAATGAACAGACAATGACAGAAGAAAGAAAATGGCCAATAAACACACAAAGAAATGCTCAGCATCACTGGGCCTTAGAGAAATGCAAATTGAAACAGCACTGAGATTCCCTCTAACCCCAGAAAGAATGGCCATCATCAAGAAAGCAAATAGTAACACATGCTGGACAGGCTTTGGGGAAAGAGGAACCCTTCTCCACTGTTGGTGGGAACGTAAACTAGTATACCCACCGTGGAAATCAGTATGGAGAGTCCTCAAAAAGCTAAAACTAGAAATTCCATTTGATCCAGCTATTCCCCTTCTAGGTATCTTCCTGAAGGAGCTAATGACATCATACAAGTGATACATACACATTCATATTTATAGCAGCATCGTTCATAATAGCTAAATCTTCAAAGTGGCCTATATGTCCATCAACAAACGACCGGGAAAAGAAAATGTGGCATTACACACCATGGAGTACTGCTCTTCCATAAAGAAAGGTAAACTCAAGTCATCTGTAGGAAATGGATGCACCTTGAGACCATAACGTTAAGTGAAACAAATCAGACACAAACTTAAATATCACATAGACCAATTTTTCTGTAAACCTAAAACTTCTCTGAAAACAGTAAAGTGTATTAATTTCTTTTAACTGACCACATGCTGGACCTAAAGCACAACCTAGCAGAGAAAGTGAGTGACCATGTGAGTGTTTTCAGGGAGTAAGTTTTCCAGAATAATCGTGATGGGGGCGGGGGGGGCATTGCTGTACATTTTCCCTGTAGTCTGTCAGCTTTTGTGTGTTACAGGTCAGTTCTATAGTAAGGGAATTATCACAGCTCCCTCATAATCACAAAAATGTAGACCAAAGGACTGAACAAATGCGCTTGATTGGACAGGGGTGGCTGTTTCCCCCCACATCCCACACCCGTCCTTTGGTTAAAATACATGTGGAATATTTTCCACAATTAACCACATATTGAAATGGAAAGTTTCAACTATATCCAATAAAATTACCCTCTCAGAACATCGTTCTTTGACCATAATGTGATAATATTAGAAATCAGAAATAAAACTTAAAACGTGCTCATGTGTCTGCATATTTACCCAAGATTTATTTACAGAATCCAGAACTGCTTTCTCTCAGTGAAGTCTGCTAAGACCATTTAGGGGAACATGAACCTGGGGCTAGCAGTGTTCTCAGAAATAAGCGTGAGCCCTGGCCAAGTGGCAAGGAGAAGGTCCCCAGTGTGTAGGTGTGTGTCACTGTGCCAGGGCAGCGCGTGAGGTATGGGAGTGTGGGTGAGGGACCCTAAAGCGGGGACTGAGCCCTCCTGGTGCCCAGGAGCTGGCAGGTGTTTAGGTGGAAAGAAACCTTGTCCGTCAGAAACATGGCAACCACCAGGGCTGAGATGGCAGCCGGATCCTCACCTCGGCCCCTCAGCTCCCTCCTCTGTCGCTCGGGTGATGTTTATTACTCTAGGTCACGTTTGTGCCACAGCCCGGCAGTTCGGGGAGACCACTAGCCCGTGCTGGCATGTGCTGCCCTGGCCTCTGGGACAGCCCCCCGACGCCGGCAGGCGGCACTGCGAGGCGATTCTAAAGGTCCGCCCCAGGGGCCACCGCCTGGAGTCTTCAGCAGCTCTGGGAAGAGATAAGGTACTAGAAGGCTTCCCTAAAATGAGCTACCGAGCAGTGCCTTCGTGCTGAGGCCAAGCCCCATCTCTGGCACCCATTCAAATAACGGGGGGAAGGGCAGAGTCTCACCCAAGGTCTCAGGTCCACTTCAGCGCCCAGAACAGCCAAGCCAGCCATGCTCTTGGGCCAAGGTGGCGGCGCAGCTGCTGTCCCATCTGTCCTCCCCCGCCCAGGGTGCTCACCCGTGCAGAATTTGCCTCGCCAGAGGGCAAAGGAGCTGCAAACTTTTTAACCTCTCATGATTAGGAAATATCACAGGAAAAAATAACTCAAAAGCAAGTTTAGAGGTGTAAAACAAAATCAATAAAAACATAAAGAAGCTCAAAATATGGCTGGAGACTTAGCTCAGTGGTTCCAGCGCCTGCCTCGCAAGTGCGAGGTCCCGAGTTTGACCCCCGGTACCAAAAACAAAAAAAAAGAAGCTCAAAATAAATACCCTGTAGGCATCTTTCAGTGTCTGAGTTTAACTCTCCGATTCCAATACTGGCCGGTGTGGCTTTTTGTGTAAAATGAGCTATCCTTATGGGATGTTTTACAAGAAAATGGCTAAGATGTTTCAGATAACACAGCAGCGCTGAGGCCTCCCTGTGCTGTGGGAACCAGCAACCGGCTCTCATTCTAGGGGTCCAAACCTGGGTGGCGGCCTGCAGCCTGGGAAACCACGGCGGCCTCTTCCGGGGTTTGTTCCTTCTCTTATTTAATTCTCCAGGAGACGCGTGTTGTGGAAGCAGGAGCACTCTGCAGGTGCTGCCTTCTGTGCGGGTGGTCTTCCGCCTCCTAGTTGCTAGGGGTTGTTTTCCAGCCGCGCAGGCCGATGATGCATGGCGTGTGGGCGGGTCGGGTGGGGTGGGGTGGTCACCAGCGGCAGCCAGCTCAGGCCTCTCAGGGCCTGCTCCCCACACTTAGGAGTTGCTCAGTGAGTCCCCTCAGCTCCAGCTGGTGCTCTGCCACCCCGCCAGCCTTCCCTTCCCCAAGACATGGCCACCAAAACGCAGCTGCTAGGGCCGGGGATTTAGCTCATTGGTTTGGAAGCCCGCTGCGCAAGCGCAAGGACCCGAGTTCGATGCCCGGTACAAAAAAAAAAAAAAAAAAAAAACAAACAACAAAAACCCAGCTGCTCGTCACTGGGAGCTCACCTGAGCCCGGGGCAGATGCATTGGCCAGCTGGGGCCACAGGGGGGCCAGGAGACCTTGGTCCAGAAGAGCCTGCGGGGGCCGACCAGGGACACAGCGCCCACTTCACCGACGCAGAAACAGGCACAAAGGAGCTGAGCAACTGACCAACAGCCCCTTCCTCAATGCGGAGCTGCTCCACACGCTCTCTCCCAAGGCTGGCAAGGGCTCTGCGCCTCGGCTGCGGCCGGGAGCCTTCAGCCCCACAGATCCCCTGCACATCTGACACCCCCGGGAAGCAGGACCAGCAGCCGGGGAGCAGAAATCCGGAGGGGTCAGAGAAAGTGGGGCTCCACCCCGATAGCTGGGGTGAAATCTCCCTGGGCGCCAGTAGATGGCACCATCAGCCTGAAAACGCTGCCCTGCCCGCAGGGGGGTTTATCTTCGGCACAATGCTGGCCGGCCATCCAACCCTGGGGCAGCAGGTGGCCTTCCACGGGCGTCCTTCAACTGCCTGACTGGAGCCCCGCCCTGTCCCCTGTTCCTTGCCTCTAGCCCTTCTGAGATGGGGGCTGGAGGAAAGGTTCTTGATTAACCAGCCTAAAGCTCCATGCCTGGCTGGGCCGCCCACTTCAGAACCCCTGGTTTCGTGTAACCCCCGGTGGTGCCGCACACAGCCTCAGCCGGAACCGGCTCGGGTAAAGGCTCGGACGCCCGCCTCGCCAGCGCCTGCCCTGAGCACAGCCACCCCCACGCTCCGAATCTCGCAGCCTGTGTCCTGGACCCGCCTGACTGCTCCCAGCATCTCGGCCTGCTGGGGCACGGACCCCCCGCACCACCTCCCAGCTGAGCAGCCCGGAGTCCCGGCCTGCGCCCCCGTGGGCAGGATGGGAAGGTGGGCGTTCAGGCCGGCCAGATTCCCACGCAGCGAAGCTGGATCTGAGAGGGAGGCTGGCAGGAAGCCCAGCTCCTCAGTCCCCGACAGGAGGGGGCGCCTCGGCCACACCCCCTTCCCTGATTAAAATGCCCCTGGCCCGCCCCTGGCCCTCAGGGAGATCAGTTCAGCCTCAGGCCTGTCTGGGTGCGGGCAGCTCAGAACTGGGCACCCGGACTCGCTTCCCCCCTGTAGGGGCCCAGGCAGCACCCTTGGTCAGAAGCCACCTGCTGGTCTTCAAGGAACAGGGACAGGCGAGCCCCCGACCCCACCCCTCGCCGCCGAGGGTGGCGGGCAGGAGTCCGGGCACCCGCCCGCTCCCCGCTCTGTTGTCCGACGGCGCCTCGCTCCTCCCCTCCGAGAGGAGAACTGAATTGCAGGACAGCCCGAGAACTTTCCCCCAGACACCAAACCGAAGCCAGAGGTCTGACCCTAAGCTCCCGATCCCTGCGTGCGTTTCGGTGAGGACGACCGCCTCAGGACGCACCCGTCCAGGCTGCTGGTCCAGGAAAGGACCGCCGTAGGCAGGCGCTCGCGGCCAGACGGGCCCCCTGGCCCCAGACCTCGGGAGCCGGGCGTCTGCCCCTGCGGCGCTGTTCGGAGGCGCAGAGAAGGTCCGCGCGGGCTCCCGGGGGCGCCGAGGACGCAGGCAGGCACCCGGGTCCCGCCGCCTGCGGCCCGGCCTGCGGATTGTGCGCCCCGGGTGAGCGGACTCGGAAGGGGCGGCCCCCAGGGCCCCTCTGATTGGACGGCGCCAAACCCAGCCGGTGCCTCCCCTAAAAAGCGAAGCGGGGCGAGCGAGCTGCCGGGCCGGCGCGCGGCCGGAGCCGAGAAGGGAGGCGCGGGTGGGCATGGCCGAGCTCAAGTCGCTATCGGCGGACGCGTACCTGGCGCTGAGCCCCAGCTACGCGGCGGCTCGGGGGCCCGAGGCGGCCCGCGACTACTGCGCGCCGGGCCCGGGCGGCGACCTCCCCTTGGCTCCCCCGTCCCGCGCCCCGGAAAGCAGCGGCGAGCAGAGCTGCGACGAGGACGACGCCTTCGAGCGGCGGCGGCGGCGGCGCGGGCCCGGGGGCGTGGTGGACGGGCGGCGGCGGCCGCGGGAGCAGCGCTCGCTGCGGCTTAGCATCAACGCGCGCGAGCGGCGGCGCATGCACGACCTGAACGACGCGCTGGACGGGCTGCGCGCCGTCATCCCCTACGCGCACAGCCCGTCGGTGCGTAAGCTCTCCAAGATCGCCACGCTGCTGCTGGCCAAGAACTACATCCTCATGCAGGCGCAGGCCCTGGACGAGATGCGGCGCCTCGTGGCCTACCTCAACCAGGGCCAGGGCCTGGCAGCGCCCGTGGCCCCGGCGCCGCTGACACCCTTCGGCCCGACCGCCGCGTACCCCTTCTCGGCTGGCGCCGCCCTGGGGCCCTGCCCGGACAAGTGCGCCGCGTTCTGCAAGCACTGCGGCGAGAAGCCGTGAGCGCCACCCGCCGGCCGCCCGTGACTCCCCGCTTGCGCGGGTGCGGGCCCGCCGCCGACCGCCGCGGCACGGTGGGGCGCGGGGCGGAGCTGGGATCCCCCGAGAGCGTCGTCGGGCGGGCCACGGTGGCGGGAGGCGCCGGGCTCCCTCCGATCGCTTCCCAGAGCGGCCGCCGCGGGGCCGGGCGCAGACGGAGTCCCTGGGCCCTTGAGTGAGCGGCCGGCCCGGGGGCTGCGGCGGCTCAGGCCGGCCCCAGCCCCCCCAGCCGCACCTTCCTGCCGGGCGGACGCGGAGCTGGAGGCGAACTCCGGAAACGCCGGGCGGGGCGCGAGTTGCCCGAGCCCGCGCTTGTTTATCCTCGTCGGGCTGGAGGCTCGGTGAAGCCTGCGGTGGACCCTAAAGCCCCGGACTCCCCGCCGGCCTGGCCGGAGCCGGCCTGGCGCCCCCGCCCGCACTCATCCGGACGACCCGCGGAGGGCGCTTCCGGTCGAGACTAGCGCCGCAACTCCGAAGGCCCCCGAGCGAGGCCGAGGCCGAGGCCGAGGCCGGGCTGGGTGAGTAGCTGCGGGCGCCTGGCGACAGCTCGGGCGGCGGAGCGCCTGTCCGTGGCGCTTAACTTTAATACGTTTCAAGCGGCCCTTTTGTATTTGCAAAACGAAGTGTGTGATGAAGTCTTACTTATAAAACTTATGCTGAATACCGGTTTCTGCTCATTTCCATTTTTATTTCTGCCCACCCCCCACCCCCCACATTAGTTTATCAGTTCTGCGCATTCAAAAAGCTGAGTGTTAAGACTATCGATAAGCCAGGGCAGGAAAACTGGAAACCCAGATGTTCTGGGGTCATTTCAAAGCAGGTTCACATCAACTTGATAAATTACTTTCGTATGGTAATTTGAGATAGTTGTGTATTTCATTTAATACCGGAGATGTGTGGTCCAAAATAAAGTATTGGATTTCAGTTTCTTTTGCAGAAATAGTATGATTAAATTTTAATATCTAATTATGTAGTGTCCATCTGTGACTGAATTAATAATTTCGATTTTCACACAACTGTGCGTGTTTGGTAGCCCTGCTTTTAGGGCCCAAAAAGTCGCTGATCGCCAAGCTACTACTCATAGCAGATATGTGAAATTATAAGAAAAAGGTGAAAGAGAAAAATCTTGTCTTCCCCCTTTGGGTGAAAAACAGGTTTCCAAAAACATTACTTCATTAATCTAAATTTTCTCCAATAATTAACTTGAATAAAAGTTCAAGTTAAATTTAAACATTTTGTAAATTGCCAAGCTGTTTATCTATTGTTCCCCTAAAATGTCAGCAAGCCTTTCTCTGGGGTTGAGTGGGGTATAGTTTTTCAAAGTGAAATTCAGTAGCTTTCTCAGCCACTGATAAAGCAGTCCCATCTATCAAAATGAAAGACATAGGTTTCCCAGTCCCAGACCACCCCCAGAGCCAAGTGCAGAGCAGCCACATCCAGTCGGCAAGGGCAGGCCTGGGGCCGCGGCTCTCTGGGGTGGCTCTGGCTCCTGCAGTAAGCAGAGCGTGCCGTGAGTCTTCACCCTGCGAGGCCAGGCCGTAGGGCTGGGGCTCCCTGGGAGCTGGGCGGAGGAGTGAAGTAGGGAAAGGGTGTGCTAACCTGGACCCAGACCAGCTTGATTCTAGGCTCTCAGCAAGCCGTGCAGCGCTGCTGAGGTCCCGTAGTGAGCCCGCCCCGGGGCTGGGACGCCCGCACCAGCGCTTTGGGCCAGCGTCCGTGCCGAGGGAGAATTCAGACTCTGTGAAGTGCACATTCTCAAGTGGCCACAGAAAAAGTGAGCAAAAGCAGATGAAGTCGATTGTATTGATAAATATTATCCAACCCCATGTATCCAAAATAATATCTCCACGTCTAATCAATGCCTTTCAGCTATTAGTGCCATCTTTTACACTTCGGTGCCCAGTCCTCCGACTGCAGTCTTGCTGCAGAGCTCTCCTCTTGTCAGCCCGGCCCTGTCTCCAGTGCTCAGTGGCCTCAGGTGGCCATGGCTGCTGTGTGGGATAGGGCAGCCCCAGATCTGCACACGCAGAGCCCTACAAGCCCTTTGTGTCCCCTTTTTGCTTAATAATAACCAAGAAATGTCTGCTGATTTGGGGGATAAGTTCTGGAGCCTTGTTTCTTTTCTCATCCTGAGTCACTGAGTCTCCCTCCAAAGTACAGCAGGGCCAGGGCAGGTGGCACGAAGATGCCACTGTCAGCTTTCTGCCAAGAGTCGGTGGCCGCATGTCCAGCGCGCGTCTGCTTCCCCATGCCCTCCAGCCTTGCATTGGCCAACCACACCGAGTCCTGGGAGCTGTCAGGAGCAGCCGATTAATAGGTGGAAACATTATCACCACCATTGGTGAGGACCCTGAGTCCTCCTTGACCTTGAGTAGGGGTTAGTCTTGAACGGAAGCATCTTCTTCCCCTGCTCAACACACAAGTGGAAGTCAGCCTGCTTGACAAATCTGTAGAGTGGACTCCTAAAATCTCAGGTCAAGATTCCCTGGGTTGGCCTTGATTAGAGAAGGGGCTCCTTAACGAAGCCCAGTTCATGGGGGCTGAGAGCTTGAGGCTTCTCTGAGCTCCCGGGGGCCACTGTTGAAGCAGGAAAAGCAGACTGCCCAGCTAGGTCCTACACCATCTTCATTCACTGTCTGCCATATCCACAGCAGCCTGCTGCCGGCCTACGGCTCACCCCTGGCACCCGATGGCTCGCCAAGCAGAAGCAGAGTGCTGAATAGGTCAGAAGACAAAAAGCGGAGACTTGTGGCTTCTCCTTTCCTTAAAACACTCAGACTATTTCTCTTCCCATGTTCTGATGCCCTGTGGTCACTGTAACTAAAGCAGGTATGGCCCAACCCTGCCGCCTTGCCCCACACAGGATTTTCCCACCTACGCAATAGGTTTGTAGTGCTTTTGGTTCGATGGTGCCCAAGGTACTTCATACCCAAAGGCCTTTCATTTGCCCACAGCTAAGAAATGCACTCGCCTAAGACGCGTGCCTGACCTGTAGACCCAGGCCATGGCAGGGCAGAGTGGTCGCTGCCCATCTTCGACTCCAGGGGCCTGAGTTTGCCATGCCTCTCCCCAGCAACCCCTCCTCCTTCCGCCCATGATGCTCCTATTAGGCAGGGTGGTTTCCAGCTGTTTGTTTTGTTGTTCATTTCATCCTAAAGATGAGATTTTTCCCTCTCACTTATGCAGATGTTCAGTCACTGGGAAGCCTGTTTCACCATATGATTAAGTTAAAGAACATCCCAGCACAGGCAAGCTTTGCCAAATATGCGTGTCTGTTTTCCTTGCAGGCTGGGAACGTTAATAGAAGAGGCGCCTCTTCATAAAGGACACATACTGTTTTCCTAAAGGGTTGGGTAAAATGCACAAACCATCCCAGCCCCAAAGCCAGCACGGCCGCTCCATCAGCTGTTTGAAAGAACTCCGAGTGTAACCAAGTAGCAGCTTCTAAGCCTTGCTTAATCTGGCACAGAATGATTACAGCAATTTTGTAATGTAAATTTGTTTGTGATATGTTTTTAGTCTAATCACTTTGGCATCCCATTTGAAGGGATGGAGATAGAGGGATTTGCAATGTATTAAGTCATTCTCTAACAATTGTCTCTTCGGACTTGGAGCCCTGGCCACGGGGCTCCAATATCCCAGGGAAAGTCTGTTCCATGTAGTCAAAGTTAATACACATTTGCGAATTTAACCCCAAAGGAATAAAACCCATTTACCATGAATGCAGAAAGGTTCAAATGATTAGCAAAACGACCTTTCGTGGCAGCTCTTCCCTGTGGTAGAAAGTGATTTGTGCTGGTCCTTTGCAGTCTGAAGTGCCCCAGGTATATTTCCCCGTGTAATGGAGAGAGGCTGCTGTTGAGCAGCCCTCTGAGTGAGATCAGAAATATTCCTGAAGCTAACGTAAAGCAGAGGAGCACTTGTGAGGTGCACACACTGAAAAGGTCCCTGAACAAACTGCACTGCCTGTGTCCCTGGCTCTTTCATCCATGCTTGCGGCTGTGGTTCAGCGTCCCTGGACGTCCCAGGGAAGCGTGCCCGGCTTGTGAGAGCCAGAGCACAGGCTGCCTCCCTGGTCCAGCAGCCACAGCCTGCACCTCTGAGAGGCACAGCTATCAGAACGCAGGCTGAGCCAGGCACGGTGCACCCGCCCCTAGCTTCTTTCCGCCAAACACTCAGCCACCTGGCGTGCTCACCCCACCAAGGGCCACGGTGACGGAGCCTGACCTGGCTCAAGGCGTTCACAGGAGCAGCCCCTGTCTGCTCAGCCTCGTTCTGCCCCTGGGTCTCACTTTGTCCAAAGCAATGAGCCTACACTCAGTCGCCCTCCCAGGGACCCTGATTTGCCCTGACGTGAGGCCCGTCCCCCAGTTCCATGGAGATGGTTCTGGCTGTCCTAATGAGGCTTTGGGCAGTCTGCATATTTGGCCACCACCGGAGACACACACAGGACCTGAGACAAGGCTCCCTCATGGCCACAAGGCGTCTGACAGGATGGATTTACATTTCGAAATCTGCAGCCTCAGTGCTTGTGGCATCAGAGCTGCATGCCTGACCCTCAGAGCTTCCTGCTTTGCGGCCACACGGGACCGATGTCACAAAATCCCCAGGAGCAGATGCTCGCTGTGCCTCCCGTGCCGGGGACAACTGCCTCTCGGAGCCCTGGCCACACTGGGCAGTGAGTCAGGGATCATTCGCAGCCTGCCTCTGCCTGGGGCTCCACACCACAGTCTGAGAAGGAGCAGAGATGATGATGACCAGGGGCAAGCGGCAACCTCCACGTGGCTGGCACGGTGCAAGCGGGGACCAAGACGAGCCTCCCAGAGCCTCTGCGTGGTTTTGTGTGCAGCAGGCTGGTAGCAGGTGCCACTTCGAGTGCTCAGTGTGGGGCACCCTCGAGGGCGAAGCCGAGTCTGGTGCCCAGTGGCTGCTGACAGAAGAGCAGTCCCCCGGGTGGGGACACCGACTGCCCTTCTGGCAGAGCACAGCACACGCATCCCCCAGCAGTGTGTTCCCCCCGTCTCCGTGGAGAGTTCCACGAAGTCACTTCTTCCACCTCAAACACCACGGACAAACGGGAAGGTGTTCATCTCACATTTGAGCATCTGAATCTCTGAAGTCAATGCCTTTCACCACTGCGGGGCTGGAGAAGAATCCTCTTCCTTTGTCCTGGGATCTTTCTCTGAACATGGAGCTGGCCATGACTTGGAGAAAAGCAGCCACTTCCCAGCTTTCTGTTCTTTGCCTCCACCTCCCTGCCATTCGGCACCAGATGGGGAAACGCATCGGCCCAGAATTCATGGGCCCTGCTCCGAAGGGGCTGTGTCCAGGAGCAGGGCCCAGGCCAGGCCTCCCTCCCCAGCCTCAGCCCGCATCCTGACCCCTCCTCCCTGGGCATCCCCGTTCCCTAAAACGTCCCTCTTGTGGCTCGGTGCTGCTCTATCTGAGGTGCCAGTTGCATCTTGGGGGAAGACCTGGCTGGTTTGGAAGAATATGCTGGCAAGCAAAGGACTGACCGGCAGTCATCGGCCTGGCCTCTCGCTGGGGGACACCAGACAAGAGCGAGGCTGGGCATGGTCTCCTGTCTGCCTCAGTGCTACCTGAACACGTGTGTGGAATATGTGTGTCCATGTGGTCTGTGTGTGTGCGTGTGTGATTCCCATGTAGTATAGCTATTTGTGTGTCTGTGATATGTATGTGTACGTCATATGCATGGATAGTGTTTGTGTGTACTGTACATGCATGTGTGTGGTATGTGTACATGTGTGTGCATGTAGGTGTGTGGAGCTGCACATAGCTTTCTCCCGTGAGGCCCCTGGGATCTGGGCCCCGGTCCAGACCCGGCACAGGCCCAGCTCTCAAGGACCCTGTCTGCCTTCTAAGCCCTCGCCTGGCACTGACGGCCCTGGAGTCTCCTGTTGGGGGGCGGGGGGCTTGTGTGTTTTACGGAGGTTCCATGGGGACTCACTGCCCTGGTTTCCCAGGAGGCAGCCCTCTCCATTCTAAAACCCAGGAAGTGTTGGTGAACCCGGATGAACAGGTCACCCAAGCAGATTGGTCCTAAGGTCAAAGACAGACCAAAGACAGAACCTGGCCGGGACCCTGATCCCAGGAGGCCTTGGGAGTCCAGCCAGCTGCTGACTTCTCCCTTGGCCTTTGGAGGAACCGGCCCTGAGTAAACCCTGAGGACGTGGTCCAAAAGGCATGGCATGCAGTTCTAGGGCCATAGCAGTGCCCAAGCTCACCTGAGTTTTCCTGACATGGACCCCCCACGGACAGTCGGACACTAGCCACACTCCATCTTTGCTGACAAGTGAGCTTTTTTTTTGGTACAGGATCAAACTCGGGTCCTTGCGCTTGCACAGCAGGCAGTGAAACCACTGAGCTAAATCCCCGACAAGCTTTTTAAGGTTTCTGTTTCAGAGACTTCTGGAATCGGGAGCTGTGGACTAGGGATGATGAGATTACATGGGCCGTGTTCCCAGATGAGGAAGCCCAGCTCTGGAAAGATTATTCTTTGAAAAGCAGCAAGGCTCAGGTTCCGAGCTCAAGCCTGCTTTCCTCCAGTGGCCACAGCAGCACCCTGTACACCTAGTCCCAGACCCACGCCACAAAAGTGTGGCCAGAGAGCTAAGGCCTAGAGGAAATGAATGTCCTCCCAGAATAACCTCGAAGAAGGGGGTTCTTTGCTGCTTCTGTGGGCTGTTGCTAAAGACAGGCTCCGCCTTCCTGTGCAGACAGAAGACAGGACTGAGACCAGCCGGATTTGGCCATAGTCAGCATGGGCTCCACAGGCAGGGCCCGTTCTCTGAGCTCAGGTCTCTTCCTGGGCCCTGATTTCTCACCCAGGTGCCAGCCCCTCCCCACTCAGCCAGGCCCTGGCCTCTTGGTCCACTGGGCTTCACATGAGGCAGACGGAGACCCTTCCCGCAGATAAGGAGCCCAGGAGAGGGAGGGGCCGCGGGGCAGCCAGGCTGTCTCTGGTTTTGTGCTTAATCAGGCTGGTTTAGAGCATAGTTCTGAGGAGCGTGGCTCCCTAAACCTGCTCATTATCATTGATAGGCCTGTCTCTGGCACTGCAGGGGACGTTGTGGTTAATTAATATCTCACTGGGAAGTGGCTGTGCTGACAGATGAGGGAGATGGACGAACTCTCAAGGGTACTGTCTCCGTTAAGCAGCCTCATTACAGCCTGCAGACTTGCATAGAGGGAGCGGGTGGCTTACAGCTAACTGCCCTCTTCCCCAGGCTGCTGCCTCCACCACGAAGCTGCTAGTGTTTCCTAAATGATGGCAAATGAACAAGAAGGTCAAAGGCCCCAAGGGGCAGGCTCCTCCCCACTCCACCCTGAACACGGGAGGGCAGCGAGCTACTTCTGAGCGCAGCCTGGACCGTTAGAGTGAGTCGGGGCCTGGGCTCCGACCCCACAGTGTAGCTCCGTCCTCAGCACATGCTGCACAGGAAACCAGGCTTCTCCCTCTTCTGAGGAAGGACAGTGACAGAGCTGCGTGCACTGAAGGCTGAGTGGGACATGTGCACATTCCAGGCCGCTGCAGGCCCCGGGTGAAGGTCATGCTCCAGGGAGATGCGAGCCAGTGGCTACATGGTGACGTCAGTGACCGGACGTGTAGCTGTTTGCTGAAGACCCCGGGGAGGGCCAGGCACAGTGGCTCGGTGCCCACTGAAGAATCCTGATCATCAGATACAGGGTTATCTGCCCGGAGGACATGCAGGGGGACCACTCTTCTAAGGGCAGCTCACTCTGTGATGTGATTTTTTTTTCCTTTTTTTTATTGTGATAAAATTATATGACAGCTACCATTTTGACCCTTTCTTTCTTCTTTTTTTTTCAGAGAAACAAACTCAGGGCTTTGTGCGTGACAGAGAAGTGTCCTACCACTGAGCTGTAGTTCCACTGCAGCTCTTCCTAAGGTGATAAGCCATGGCATTGAAGACATTCCCAGCTCTGGGCAACCACTGTCCATCTTCAGAACTTTTTTTTGGTAGGGGGGATCAAACTCGGATCCTTGCACTTGCGAGGCAGGCGGCAGAACCACTGAGCTAAATCCCTGGCCCCTTCAGAACATTTTTTAAAGCCTACAGTTTGATTTTTTTCTTTCTTTTTCTTTTGCACACTGAGAATTGAACCCAGAGCCTTCGCACTGAGCTACATCCCCAGCCCATTTACTTATTTACTTTTTAATTTTAAGACAGGGTCTCCCTAAGTTGTTAAGTTGCCCAGGCTGGGCTCCAACTTGAGCTCCCTACAATTCAATTTTTAAAGTCACACTTATTGAGGTATAATTCACATACAATAAAATGCACCCTCTGAGATGCAGTCCATGAATGCTGGTAATATGCACAGCCATGAGGCCACCAGCACGACAGCTATAGAGTGTTGCTGTCAGCCCCCAAAAGCCCTCCCACACCCTAGCCCTGTGACGACCACACTGCTCCCCGTTGCTGGCTGCTTTTCAGGTCGCCACGGTGGAGCCTGGAAGTGGAGTGGAGGTTTTCGACCTGGCTTCCTGCTCTGCAGGAACTGCAGGGTTCCTCTTCGTGCTTAGCCCATCAGCGTTGCATCCAGGTGTTGAGAGGGCCATGCCGCAACTCTGGGAGTCCGAACCCTGCTCCTGCGGCACAAGCGATGCTGGCGCCATCATCTGTGACCCACAGTGGCCCCAGCAGACTCTGAGAGCGCTGTGTCGCCTTGACTTCTGCAGGAGAAGCAGGTGTGAGCCTCTGCAGCATGACAGACGTTCGGGGGAGAAAGTGACCGACCCACCTCAGTCCTACTGGAAAGATCCAGCCGGTCTGTGTGAGATTTCCACAGACAACTCTGCCTGCAATTCTGGGCCGGCTGAGCAGTGAGACACAGAGAAGGCCCAGCAGGACCTCGCTGAACAGTCTCAAGCCCGCAAGTCTCCCGTATACTAAAGACGCCTCTGAATCAACGTGGCAGCGACTCACTGGCAGGGAGCACAGAGGAGCGAAAGGGTCGGGCCCTGTAGCTGATGTAGGGACCCATGCACCCTACCTGTGGAAAGGTCTGAGTGTGAGCCCCGAGAGCCTCTACCCAGCAGAAATGACCACAGCGGCCTGGGGACACTTGGGATGTGGTCCTCGGGCCTCAGCACCCAAGGCTGCTGCTGAGTGGTAATGAGCCCAGGCCCTGTCAAAAACTGAAGA